GGGGTGGTGACTAGTGACAGTGAGGGGGTGACTGGTGACAGTGAAGGGGGGGTGACTGGTGACAGTGAGGGGGGTGACTAGTGACAGTGAGGGGGGGGGGAGGGTGACTAAAGCCTACCTTTCTCTCTGCTTCCTCTCCCCGGCTGCTGCTCCTTCCCCTCGCTGGGCTCTGTGTGAGAGGAGTAAACAGGAAGTGATGTCACTTCCTGGCCCCGCCTCTCCCATCACACAGAGCCGCATGGGAGAGGAAGCAGGAGACCTGGCAGGGAGGAGGTGAAGCTGCCAGGTCTCCATGGGGGGTGGGGGTGTGACTAGCAGAGCGGTAGGTTGTGGGGGCCCCGCGCTGCATCAGGGGCCCCCCAACCTATCGATTAAATAGTTTTATTATTTTTTGCCGTTCCAGTTGGAGAGATCTCTGATCTCTCCAGCTGGAACATGGCTGTGCTGCCGGGCCCCTGACTGCCTCGGGCCCTCGGTCCATGACCGATATGCCCGAGTGGTCAGTCCGCCCCTGCATGTGAGTATGCTTACTGTATAATTAAAAATTTTACTCTGAAAGGAGCAATATTTTATATTAGAAAAAGCTATATATATATATATATATATATATATATATATATATAATATTGTTAGAGATAATTCCAAGGACTAATATAAAATATAACTTTTATTACCTCCACTAAAACAACACAAGGTCAACGTTTCAGCTTGATCCCCTCAAGCTTTCGTCAGGAGATGTCCTGACAAAAGCTTGAGGGGATCAAGCTGAAACGTTGACCTTGTGTTGTTTTAGTGGAGGTAATAAAAGTTATATTTTATATTAGTCCTTGGAGTGCTATCTCTGGCAATATTTTTTGCATTTTTGGCTGACAAGCACCGGGCATTGATTATTGAATTGGTGGAGTGCAAGATCCGTTTGTTTTTTATATATATATATATATATATCAATCATCTAGGGTTGCAAGACATAGCCTTACATATTACATGCGACAATATATGGCGCAATGACTTATGGGGCTGGCATAGATTTTTTTTTCCAGAGCTGCTTTGGAATCCCCAGTCCGGCCCTGACCATAGCCTCCGCTTGGAATCTTTCGTATTCCAAGTAGTTTCCCTGCTTGGGAGAATGATGGGTAGCTGCTGGCTTTGATCGCCGTCTACTAGTTTTCTGCTTGTGTTGTTGGTGCACTGGGGGGGTGACCCCTGGTGGCCTGCGGCCTGAAAGGGTAAGTAGGGCGCAGAGTGTCTGCTTGAGGTAGAGCAGTGCCCGCCAGGATTCCACCCTTTCGTCGCACTCGAGTCCCCTCATCTCCAGGTTGTGTTCTTGGTGGGGGCGATGCCATGCAAGCCTCAAGGTTTGCCCAGAAGTTTTGGAAGTGAATCTCCAGTCTCCGCAGGCAAGTCTCAACAGCGTTATTTTGTGTCTGTGTGGTCGGTTTCAGCATAGGCCCAGGGAGGAGGTCCTCCGCCATTTTGGTGTAACGGAAGACACTAGGTATGTCCTCAGAGTTGTGGGGAGCCTTCTTCCCCTCAGCATGGTGTCCAAGCCCTGCCCCCCTTCTTTTGTTTTTAATCTAACAAATCCTTGTTTTACTTTCCTTTTCTCATTTATGTATCTAAAAAATGTTTTGTCCCCTTTTTTTACTGACTGTGCTATTTTCTCTTCTGTGTGTGATTTGGAAGCTCTTATAATTTGCTCAGCCTCTTTCTGCCTACTCTTATAGATCATTCTGCCTTCCTCACTCTGATTTTTGTTATAATTACTAAATGCTAACTTTTTGTTTTTTACAATTTTGGCCACATCTGCGGAGTACCACAGTGGTTTCTTGAATTTTTTTGCTTTTACAGACAAGCCTAATGCAATTTTCTGTTGCCTTCAGCAGTGCAACTTTTAAATAATCCCATTTCTCTTGGACTCCATTTAAATTGCTCCAGTCTGATAATGGTGGAGCTGATGTCAGCACTGTTGACCGTTGACACAGGAATAGCAACACTTGAGGGAGGAAAGACCAGAATGAATCCACCTGGTTATACACTATTGTATTTATCGTTATATCTTAAACCTACATGGTCCTTTTAAAGTTAAAGATTTTTAAAATTAATGTAAAGACATATTTTTAAGGTATTTTGTTGTTTCACACGTTAAACACTTTTTAACTGGTAATAAGCGCTACTGTTTTTTGGTTTGTGGTACTCGTACTTACTGAGAGAATGTTGGGAAGACGATAGCACCGATTACCTGTAAGCCAGTAGGGGTTGGTGTTTTATACTTAACTCTGTGGTATGTGGTATGTGTCACTGCTGTAATGCTTCATAAGCATGGAAAATACCAACAGAAAATAAAGAATTCCATATTCAAATAAAACACAAATAAGTCTAAATAAAGCTTAATATTACTCGGACATTTAAAAAAAAAAAAAAAATCAAGTCGCTCTGAATGATTGTGTTTCCACAACTTATCCAGAATGCAAGAAATGGAAATTAGCATAATCAATACTGCCACTATTTCAGATCCCCATTTTCACTACACTAACCTAATGGCTCAAGTTATGTTTTTTTCTGCCAAAGTGCAGTTTAAAATCTGAATGAACAGATTGCCAATCATGCACACCTCTTTGTCCTTTTAGGGCTCGTCAGCATTGTGCTTGCTTTGATTTAATTTTGGAAATGTCTCAATGTCTCTGAATTATTAAAGTTGGGGGTGAGATAAAAATGTTACAAATAACCCAAAGGTTCAATTTCAGGCAATTTTTTGTCACCAGAATGTGCAAAGCAACATTTCGGCCAGTATGGTCTTTATCATGTTGCTTTGCACATTCTGGTGACAATAAATTGCCTGAAATTGAACCTTTGGAGTGCCCTTATCCTTTCTTTTGAAGTATTGCTTTATCTGGGGACAAGTATTTTTTAATTAACCTAATTATATGTACATACTATCCACTAGTTTATTAATACATTGAAAACTATTTGAGAAAGATAACAGTGTAAAGGTAATCACCACGCAAATATCGTTGCTTATCATGTTGGTTGCATGATATTATTGGGGTCTGGATAACTCCTTGCAGATTTATTTACTTAGGTTCTCCCCCCCCAAGAAAAAAATCATGTTGGCCGCCTCTGCTGGAAGTCATTTTCATGAATTCGCCATTATTTCTGCAAAAGCTATTTACTATCTTTCTACTCTTACTTACGAGTAAAAAAAAGTAAATTTGAAATCAAATAAGAGTTAATCACTTGTGAGTATTGTGAATTGCAATTGCGGATTTTGTTCACTTTGAAAATGAAATTTGCGAAATGTTAAACAAAATTATCCAGATGAGAAAAAAAAAATCTAACAGAGGTGTAGAATCTTTCAAAATCAGCTATTTTCTCCTACAGGCAAAACAAAGTGTCATATGTTCAGTGTGTGATTTTGTAGAACCAGACGCACACTTACAAAACCAATAAAAGTCCCCCCCCAAAAAAATTGAACAAAAATATCCCAGTCGCCAATACAACACACACGCACATACACACACGCACATGCACATACATACATATCTTAGTAGTTCCACCTCTTACCATGAATGATTTCAGAGAAGTTGACTTTTTAAAATTTATTTTGCAGTTCTTATGAAGCGCTTTCATCCAGAGTGCTTCACAAATTACGTAAACAAATATAAAGGGACGGGGAGTTGGAATTAGACATGCTGACAAAAAAGGAATGGCAGAATCAGCAAAACAGTGCTATGGAAGACAGGTGTAGGCTTATCTCAGATGCAAGGATAATGACAGAGCTTAGTGGGAGTTGAAGTATGGAAAATCGAAAGTAACACATTTCCCACAGGACTACAAAATAGTAAAAAAAAGAAAGATCTAAATGCATTGTACCTAATTATCATTCATTTATAAATAAAGAAAACCGTTGGATGCCAACATGATTCTCCTTTTTCTATGAAATGATTATTTGCATGATTTGATTCCACTTTATGTAATGCATTATAATCATCCTCTCTGGTAACACAATATCCCCATGTAACAAGAGTGAGCTGAATGTCTGAAATCTCCCTGCCCATCTTGCACTTCTCATTCCAACTGTCTCCTACACAAAGACGCCCCACAGGTTTGATAGGAATTCCACCACGCAGGATAAGAAAAGGCAGATTAGACCAAGAATCGAGAAAGAATTCCAAGCATGCTTCACACTTCATGGGGCCATGACAAAGGAGAATGAGCTCACAACCCATCTACACCAAATGCCATTATATTATTGAAAAGCAACTCCAAGGGTCCTGAGTAAAGATATGAAGTTTATATTTACATAAGTCTCTAGTGATAAATACGTTTCCTTCCACAGATTCCTTACCATTGCAGAGCCCATGTAGGTTTTAAGATAGGGGATGGTAATGGTGAAAACATGGGTCTCAGAGATACCTCCTTACTAGAAAGTAAGGTCCTCATTATTTACAAAGTACACAGTAACACTATAACAAAACAACAGTGCAGAGAGTAAAAAATGCTGTGTGGTTCTACTGTATCTCTTGTGAAGAATCTTTAGAACCCTCATAAAGGAAAATATTCTAAAAGGGTTCAAGGTATCACTATAGTAGAGTTTCAGGTCTACATCTTCGGGAGAAATTATCCAAATGATTTCAGTTCTGCTCTTATCGCTTCTTTCCTCTAACTTCAAAAACACAGGTCTGCTTTTTCTGTAACGTTTCACCAGATTTGGTTTAACTAAAGCCCAAATTGGCAACAGGGGGGTAAGCAATACAAAGGTGATAGAGTTCATGAAGCTCCATGACAGTACACGTGGTCTCACTGAACGTGAAGGGTCTTAACACCCCGACCAAGAGGTGAATACTTTTCCGCGAACTAAAGAGATTAAAGGCGGATATCGCCTTTCTTCAGGAGACACACATCACCAAACAGACACGATTTAAACTTAGCAACCGTACCTATACGGCCTCCCACGAAGCTAGAAAACACTGTAAGCGCAACGGAGTGGCGATAATATTAAGGAGTATCTGCCCACTGCAGACCACAGCAACAGACGCAGACCCTGAAGGACGTTACATTATAGTTTCAGGGACCCTGTTCTCCCATAAGATACACCTAGTCAATGTGTATGCCCCCAATCATCCGGACTCATGGTTTTGGGTTACGCTTACAGACAAAATTCAGGCTTTACCAACAGGCATGATTTTAGTAGGGGGGGACTTTAATGCGGCACCGAGCCCAGCAGTCGATAGAAGTGCTCGTAGGGGAATGCCCAGGCCACAAGGGAGAGGGGGGCAAGATAAACTGCTACACGATTTCATGCGTCGATCTGGCTTGATGGATGTATGGAGGGCTCAGCACCCAGGTATGATCGACTACACCTATTATTCCGCCCCACACGGGACACATTCGAGAGTAGACTTCTTCCTAACTAATGACAGTTGCCTCACACGTACTATCAAATCTGCCGTGGGTTCCATCACGTGGTCAGACCATGCTGACATCTCAGTCACCCTAGGCGGCCTATGCACAGTGACTCCTTGGACCTGGAGACTTAATACATCCCTATTACGGGATCCTAAAATTCAAGAACAGGTACATAAAGACTTAGTAGAATTTTTTACCATCAATACTACCCCTGACATAAACGTAAGCACACTCTGGGCAGCACACAAAACGGTAGTGAGGGAAACTTTTGTACGCTTAGCAACAATTCGGAAAAAACAAAAGGCGGAAACTTTGAGAAGGCTGCTCACGGACCTTAAGACGGCTGAACAGAGGCATCAGTCAAACCCGGACAGGGATACGTTGCGACAGGTAGAAAATAGGAGACTAGAGATAAGAGAACTGTTATTAGATGAGGCGGCCCGGTCCATGACGTTGTCCAAAAGGGACTTTTATGAAAGGGCAAACAAAATGGATACCTTACTGGTTAGGACCCTGTGGCTCATATTACCTCAATTAGGCATCCCGACAGCTCATTGAAAAGCACACCAAAGGAAATCGAGGGAGTCTTTAGAGACTTCTACAAAACACTATATAATCATATGCCGAACCGTGGCGGGGGAGGAACAAGAGATGGACCGTATCCTTGTCAAAGCTGGATTTGCCAAAACTCTCACAAGGGGCCAAAGACCAGTTAGCGGCGGAAATCACAGAGAAGGACGTAGAAAGGGCAATTACAGGTCTCAAAGGTAACAAAGCACCTGGGCCGGACGGTTTTGATGGGTCTTACTATAAGACCTTCAGGGAGGACTTAGTGCCCCACCTGCTCAAACTTTTTAATAGCTTCAGAGAGGGCGGCAAGCCAGACCAGGATATGGCACTGGCGTCCATAGTATTGTTGCCTAAACCGGATAAAGACCCATTACAGGCCCATTTCCCTTATAAATCACGATATGAAGCTGTCTCTCCCCACATTTGACATCTTTGATAGATGCAGACCAAGTTTGCTTCATACCAGGGAGGCAATTATTTGAAAACACCCGTAGAA